TAAGTATTGGTTAATAGTTCAATTAGTTAAGGCTAATAATTTATTATTTTTGCTAATTTTAATGCATAAATCCTGACTTGTAACCATTCTTACCTCATATTGATTTTTTTAGTATGGGCAAGTCTTCTGACTTAACCCTAAGAAAAAGTATGGAAGTAAAAACCTTACTTCTTCATTCTACACATTCTCAGAGAGAAATAGCAGCAATTGCAAGTGTTTCAAAGTCAGTAGTGAGCCGAATTAAAAGAAAAATCGATACAAATGTGCCTTTAGAACCAGGCCGTGTCGGCAAAAGTGGCCGAAAAAGGATCACTACTCCACGTTGTGACCGTAAAATTAGGAACATCTGTCTTAAAAACAGGAAAAAAAGTGTGGCTTAACTAGCTTAACTAACTTAAAATGATAAACAATGAAGGAATTAACATCTCCAAAAAGACGGTTCAAAGAAGGTTGGCTGAAGAGAATTTAATGGGTCATCGCCCAACGAAAAAACCACGTTTAACTGAAGCCATGAAAAAAAGGGACTGGATTGGGCTAGAAAACACCAGCATATGACTATTGAAGACTGGAATAGAGTAAATATAATTTATAATATTGTTAGAAACCATAAAAATTATAGGATTATAATTTAAAATATCTTTGTAATGTTTTACAGGTCTGCTTCTCGGACAAGTCAACATTTCAAATTTTGATGGACAAAAGCTCATTTGTTCGACGACGCCCAGGAGAAAAATTTCACCAGGACTGCCTTTTAGAAAAGGTTAAACATCCTGTGAGTGTAATGGTGTGGTCTGTGATCTCAGCCAAAGGTATGGGCTGCCTCTACATTGTGGATGGGACCATGAGGCAGGATCAGTACAAGCAAGTACTGGAAAACAGTCTCCTGCCCCAGGTCCAAGAATGGTTTGCTGATAATGAAGAATACATGTTCATGCATGACTCAGCACTGTGTCATAAAGCTAGAAGTGTTACAGCATTCCTAACTGAAAAAAAAGTGTGTGTTTTGCCATGGCCAGGGAATTCACCTGATATGAACCCCATAGAAAATCTGTGGGAGTTCACAAAACGGGAAATTGCCAAAGAAATCATCACTACTAAGCAGCAATTGATAGAAACCTTTATAAGAGAGTGGCATAACAACCCCAGTCTCCAACACAATGCAAAAGTTTGCATAGAAAGCATGCCCCGACGCCTGAAAGCCGTCATTGTAGCAAAGAGTGGCATTACAAAATATTAGGATTATTACCTTATTTGTTATGTTAAAACTTTTTATAAAAAAATAGATAGCTATGAATAAAAAATTATGTTGTTTTATATTCTAAATAAAACCCTCTAACAATAAAAACAATGTTTAAAAATAACTACAAGATATTTATTCATTAAAGTAGTTTAAACTGTAAAATTACTTAAAAAGTAAAGTGTCCCTAATAATTTGGCAACCCACTGTAGTTATATTTTATTATTACTATAAGGGAATGTTTATTTTCTTATAACTTTTTAATACTAAATAAATTTAATACTTTTAAAAATGTTTGATATTAACAAATTTCTCTCTTTACTTAACATCAGAGTTGTTAACAAGGCTAAATATAGCAAGGCCAAGGCCAAATATAGCAAGGCCAAGGCCACATGTTCCAAGGCCATATTTTCCAAGGCCAAGGCTAAGGTCAAGGCCAAATGTTCCAAGGCCAAGGCAACATGTTCCAAGGACAAGGCAACATGTTCCAAGGACAAGGCCACAAGTTCCAAGGCCAAGGCCACAAGTTCCAAGGCCAAGGATAAGAACCTTAAAGCCAAGGACAAGGTAAAGGACACATCCAAGTATTTCAAGGTGTAAGACTTAAATTTCAAGGCTAAGGCCAAGAGTTTCAAGGCCAAGACCAAGGCCAAGGCCAAGAGTTGTAAGGCCAAGGTTAAGGTTAAGGACCTAATTTTTGGCTTTAAGGCCATTTGCTCGCCATTTGCTCGACATTTGCATAAATGAATTAAAATATGATTTAAATTTTTGAATTTTTAAATGATTATTTCTTAAATTTCTAATTTCAGCTTTGTAACTACAAATGATTTTTTAGCGAATAGCAAAAAAAAAAATTATATTAATTTATTTACTTTATTTATTAAAAGTTTATTATTTTATTAACGATTTTGTTGTGAAAGCAAAGATTATTTTTGCAAACACCATTTATTAAAATTATATCGCTGTATATATCATTTTTTTAAAAACAATTCTGCGATTTAACTTGCTTTATATAAAAAAAAGTTCAACTTAAATTTTGTTAAAATTTTTGATGCAACTGTTTTTTAAAAATTTAATTTTGAATTAAAATAATGTTTAGGAAGGAAAACCAAAAAAACGATTGCGATAAAAATGAGCTAATTTTGTTTTTTAAGAATAAATAAAATTTAAATATGGAACAATATATTTAGTAATATTTTTGAATAAGTTTGACAGTTAATTTAAACCCAAGCAATAACTTCAATTGTAATAAACTGTAATTTTTAAATCAAAATTAAATTTTATATTTTTTAAATCTAAAATAAATTGTATATTTTTTAAATCTAAATTGAATTATATATCTTTTTATCAAAATAAAATTAAGGGAGAGTGGTGCACCATGACACACTTTTGGTTATTGCTTTGTAACAATTTTTTTAAACGCCTTTTTTTTATGCAATAGGTTCTATTTGTAGAATATATTTATACAAAATTAAATTTATAAATTACCAAAAAATGACAGGTTAAACTTGTGAGACTATTTAATGTAAAATTTGAAATTTGTTTTTCTACTGATTTTTTTTAATGATGCTCATAGTGTGTATCAAGGTACCCCATGGGTGGGGTACCTTGATATAAAAAGTAAATAAAAAGTATAAAATATAGAAAAAAGGCAGATTTTTACTTGAAATATAAACAAATTTAAATATATAACTCAAATAAAGCATCCAATGGTCCAAATTATATTTCAAAAGACCAGATAATATATTGTTTCAATAAGCGTCAATAAATAATGGCTTTGTATCGAAATGGGATCTCCTTGTATTATATTTACATAAATCTTAAAAAATTGATATAAATGTTAAAAAAAAAAAAGATTTTTAGAATTGTTTATGACACAATGAAGTACTATTTTACAGCTTTAGGGCCCCCAACAAATGCTGTATCTAGTTACCCCATACTTGCTAATAGAAAACTATTGGGTGGACACGGAAAAATCTGGTCAACTTTAAATTGAGATTTCTCTAAAACCATAAATGCTTTTTATTTCAATTTTTTTAATTATTAAATGTGTTTACATAAATTAGAGTTTCAACTTAATTTTAATGGGGCTTGATGGGTTGCCTGGCAAGAAATTGAACTTTATAGCGGGTTGATGCCATCATTTTACAGATTTTTTCTTTTTTCACCATATTGGTGGCATTAATCCACTTTTTTTGGAAGTTCTATTTATTATTTGTTAGTCCACCTGTCTTACAAAGAACTCCTTTAACTATTGCCCAAAAATCTTCAATCTTGCGCTCTTCAGGACGATTTGGAGGATTCGCATCTTTAGGAACAATTTTCACATTATTATCTTTGCACTACTGTAAAACTTTTTTAGAATAGTGAGAGGCAGCAATATCGGGCCAAAAGAGACATCGGTATTTGTGTTTTTTTATAAAAGGCAAAAGTCTTTTTTGGAGGCATTCTTTGGTGTAGAGATTGGCAGTCAAGGTCTTTTTAGTGACAAAACAAAAGGACTGCATACCACAGCTACAAATTGCTTGCCACACAAGGAACTTGGATGCAAATTTTTCTCATCGAATATATTTAAATTGATCATCAACAGGTTTATCTTTGTTTTCATAGTAAAACTGTTGACCAGGAAGTTGTGAAAAATCCGCCTTGCAATACGTTTTGTCGTCTTCAATTATGCACATATTTTTATCCGCCATTATTTTAACCAACTTCTTTGCGCGCCGAATTCCTTTAATTTCACAATTTAAGCTTCTCTTAGGTGTATTTTTTTTATGAAATGCTTTAATTTCAGCATTTTTAAGTACTTTTTTGATATAAGAACCAGAGGTCTTAAATTTTCTTGCTAGATCTCGCTGTGACTGATTTGGATTTCTTGCTATTGAACGTAAAATCGACTTTACCTTTTTGGATTTATGGAAAGTTTTTTTTCTTCCACTTCCAAGTTTTCTTTTAAAGCTTTGAGTAGTCTTGAACTTGTTTATAATATCTATGACTGTAGAGTTTGGGACATTTGTGTGTTTAGCAATCAAGCGATAGAAAGTCAATGGATTTTTGCAAAAAAAATTCACAACTTTTTTATGCATCTCAACTTGTTTCCAAAACATTTTGCAAATCATTAATTTGTAAACAAAAATTTATTAACACCATTTAAAATAAGGAAGTAAGGTTTAATTAAAAAAAAAATTAAATAAAAAGCATTTGTGGTTTTGGAGAAATCTTAATTTAAAGATGACCGGATTTTTCCGTGTCCACCCGATATTGCTTTATTTTTAGTATCAACTGGTTTTTTCAATAATTTTGTTTAATGAAGTAAAGATCTTATGGATTGTAGCTAACAAAATAATGTTATTTATTGATAAACACATTGAATAAGATACCTTAAAACTTATGAGCTTTAAAAACTAATAAATTACTTTGTCATCAAAAAAACACAAATTTCGACCCCTCACAGGCCTAATGATGTCAAATGATATAATTATTTTTGAAAAACATAGCTCTAGTAACTGCTGTTTTACTATATGGAAGTAGTTGTTCTTAACTCTTAAGATGCCTCCACAATTACAATGTTTAATGGTGCCCATGTATCATGGTGCCCCACTCTCCCCTATATATTTTTATTAAATTAAGTCATATTTTTTATCAGAATTAAATTATATTATTATGTTACTTGCTTCAAACTTAAAGTATTAGCATTTTTCAAGCGAAAAAATCAATCATTACAATAAAAGCTCCTAGAATGAATGAATTTAATGGAACAACTTAC